AAATCGCGCCGCGCCGCTGCTCGACGCCGGCCCACATTGAAAATGAATGACTTCCGGCCACTTTGACGCTCTCGACGGCGGCGGTGTGAACGCACAGTAATGCACAGCACCATTTAACTGTATTTTGCTTTAATAATGTAGACCTTCTGCTGTCTAATGATCATGTATCTGTTTTCAGGTGCGTGTATTGCGGGAGAAGCTCGCAGGACATGAGAATCTGCCATATAAAGAAGATCTAGAGACGGCACTTGAGCAGTGTTTCTTCTGCCTGTATGCTTACCCGAGCAAGAAGAGCAAAGCGCGATACCTGGAGGAGCATTCTGCCCCACAGGTAACACGCTCACAATGACAAATGATATGAGCATATTTTACACAATTAACTTTCTGAATGTCACTGATGTGCACAATTCATCAGTATATGCAAGATAAAAAATTTTGTTTTCAAAAACTTTCATCAAAATACCTACTCTGCATCTGAAAACTTTTATGTTCAAATAACCAAGGCAATGCAGACAAAGTAAAATAGTATTCATCACTAATACAACCCTGTATATTGTCCTGCTTCGCTTGGAAATATGTCACATAACAAAGTGACACTGAATGTTGTTTTACATTTACATTCATTCATTTAGCAGACTCTTTTATCCAAAGCTACTTTCAAATGAGCAACACAACAAGCGATTCATCTTAACGAGGCAATAACATGAGAAGTGCTAGCAATACAAAGTATCACCAATGTCTAGAATAGTACAAGCTGGTACAGGGAGGACTATAAGAAATAGTGACAGCATAGAAGGGTTTTTTAAGATTCAGCAGGATGCCATGAAGTGCTCATGGAAGAGATGAGTCTTAAGCTGTTTCTTGAATATTGTCAGGGATTTCAGCTGTCTGGATAGTGTTAGGAAGATCATTGCACCAACAAGGAACAGTGAGAAGGTTCTGGAAAATAATTTTGTATGATATGGTACCTCTCATTCACCGACCTCAGGCTTCTGGAGGGGATGTAGACCTGTAAGAGTGAGTTGAGGTAGGGTGCGTAGCATTTGTCCATTCTGTATGCAAGCATTAATATTTTGAGCTTAATGCTAGCAGCAACCGGTAGCCAGTGCAGTCTCTTTAAAGGGATAGTTGACACAAAAATGAAAATTGTTATGATTTACTCACCCAAATGCCTTTTGTTTTTCGACAGAACTTAAATGAATATATTTGTAATGTTCTCTCATAATTCTTGTCCATCCATTGAAACTCCACACAAACTGAAAATTTCAAGCTTCATCATAAGAATAATCCATGTGAACTTGCTTGAGTGATTTAATCATGTCTTCTGAAGAGACATGATCACTTTATATAATGAACAGATAGGCTTTTTATTCACATATAAACATCGAATATGGTAAACGTAAGCACAAACTTGCTTGTTTGACATGCAAGAACCAATAAGTTTGTAGCAAGCAAGTACGGTAAATTATGACTTGAGTTTTCATTTTTTGGTGAAATAACCCTTTAAAGGGGGCATCGGATGCAAAGCTCACTTTTACGTGGTGTTTGCATATAAATGTGTCTCAGCAGTGTGTGGACACAACCACCCTACAATGATAAAAATCTAGGGATGCTCCGATCGATCGGCCGGAGATCGGTATCGGCCGATAATCATATTTTATGACTCGATCGGTAATCACTAACTTGGCCGATCTCAGGAACCGATCGCAATTTGATGACGTCAACGCGTGACGACGTACATGATGCGTGGGGACATAAATGATTTGGCGCCGCAGTCATGTCATCGCCGGTGTGGAAATGCTATGACGTTTCGAGAAACAATGAAAAATTCGCTGTTTGTCATGTATGTTTTGTATGATGAATAGATGGTTCATTTTTAACAGCAGATTCGGTGACGTTAGAGCTGATCTGCGCCTCACTGCACGCGTCTGCGGCGCATGGGAAACACATCCCACAGCACAACCACCTGAGCCCAACTTCAGTCTACTCATCAACTTTAACTGCGTTTGTAGCCGGCGCTACAGCCAGACTGATAAACAAACACAGACCGGAAGTTAAATTCGGGCCAGGCGCGTGCGCCCGATGAAACCGTCTATACAAAGCTTGAAGCATCAGAATCGGCATCGGTATCGGCCGATCACCATGACAAGAAATCGGTACTCGGTATCGGCTGCAAAAATCCTGATCGGAGCATCCCTATACAAATCCATTCACTCCTTTTTTTTTTTTTAACCCACCAAAAAACCTAAAAAGTCTCAATTATCAAGCCGTTTTGATTTTCTGAGCAGAATGACGTCATATTGCTCAGGCCCCGCCCACAACCACTGACGGACTGTCCCATATTAGCATATCTCCGCCCTCAGCCAGTTGTACACTGTCTGCCATTTTCTCGTAAGCAATGCAGGTGTTTTGTAGTTGGATGTAAAAGTGAACATAAGAGTCTTCATTTTCTCCCGACATTAGAGCCACTGAGGACGCAGTGGATTAGTTCTGTTTTTGATGGTAATGCGCCTAAATTCGTTTATCTACGCAAATCAAAAAGGCTGAATGGCTTTTTTTTGGGGCACAGGCAGAGCATTCTTGATTTGTGACCCAGATATTAATGTAATATTTTGCCAGGTCTGTGCTGATTTAGGAACAATTTAGACTCAAGCAGACTTTTTTTCACAAAATCAATCCATCTGATTTAATTTATTAAACTGAATCAACTTCCAAATTCTGCTTGATAGCGAAGACAGTGAAGGAGAATGTGGTTGATTCACTTGCTTTTCTGTGCCTCTTCTCGCTCAATACACTTTGTGCGATCACTCAATGTTTTCTGCCCACTGAACAGCACTGAATTATGCAAAATAAGGTGTCATAAATGAGTATTGTCAAGCTAACCCATTATGTGTTGGAAAAAAACTATAAATAAAGCTGTAATATTTTAGCTTGGCTATGTTCTGCTACCAAAAAGTGTAGTTAAGTCAACAGTGTTGACTTTCGTTACTCCCAAACATGACTCCAAAGTCTCCTGTGTACATTTTTATTTTATGTCTCGAAGATCTAAGAAGCTTTAAAAAGAGAGAAGGAGAACTGTCCCTGTGCTAATGAAGGTAGGTGGATGTTGGATAGGATGAGCTGGCAGGCTGATTCAGCAATAATTCACTGATTGATTGTCTTTTGGCAGCAAGGAGGGCACATTGATCATTTAGCCACCCACACACACCCATTATACAGCACTGCTCTGTACACAGGAAATACTGTACACACCACCAAAGTACAATACCGAGGTGTTCTGCATCTGTTTCTGTGTCTCTGGCGGAAACGGACCATGCGGTGTAGATGCTACTTACGTTTTTGCAGGCACTTAGCAGATATTGAACTGTGCTTAGTCTGTGGAGCTGTGAGGTACAGCACCATTAGAGGAAAAGGAAAAAGCAAACCACAAAAAAAGTCAGTGTTGGTGGTGATTTTGGTTTTTAGCTTTGGTTATGAAAATTTGCATGCTTCTCAGCTGAATAATCAGTTTTTATTCTTTTTTTTTTTTTTAAGCAGTACTTCACAGTAGAGAATAAAATACAATTATAGGTTTAAAATCAACATTTCTTTTGACTTTGTTTTTTAATCTTAGGTAAATTTAGTGTGGAATCCACAAAGGATACATGCGATCTTAAAAGGGAGCATAATTACAAATGCTGTCGGCCTACTTTTAAAATCAGTATCAGGACAAATTACTTGAAACTGGCTTTCTGAACAAATTAGTTAGTTTCAATCCATAACTCATCCTGAATTCCAGCCACTTTCTCTTCTCTGAATGAATTAACCAACAGTATAATCTGGTTTTATGCTCTTTGTAGGTTTCTTTCATTTATCTGATGCTGCATTGTTAGTGTTATAAATCAAAACTAATCAGCACAATTTTTTTGTGGCCCTGTTATAAACATTCAGCTCATTTCTCCCCAAAAACATTGTCATTATGCCAGTGGGGAAATTGCTTTTTGTTTCGATGGATAAGTGATAATTCTGTCTTTTGTCACTCGTCAGTGTAGTCAAATACTTCTGGTAATGAAATAAATAGCAGGATATTACTGCATGCCTGCCGTTGTTCATATTGCTGTTACTCCTGAGAGGGACAAAAGAGTCTGTTCTCACTAACAGATTGACAGAAATCCCCAGTTAAAACTTTCCATTCATGTGTGTTCAGCAAAATCAGTGACCAAAATTAGCATGGTAATATTTTATGGTAAATCTTAAATTTTTTTTAAAATCCCATTATCAGAGACAAAATTATAATTCAATAAAATTATAATAAAAATCATTTATATATTTTATTATTTTTTATTATTATTTTTTATTATTTAAAATAATTTAAAAAATTTAAATATTTGGGGAAAAAAGTAATGTAATAATAATAAAAATATTTTATACATGTATGTAAATTATAAAAAGTACAGTTTTGTGGTTGGTAAGAAATATTTATGGCTGGTAAAATCTCAATTCGCAGGCAGATTAATAGGTTGATTTAGTGGCAATAAGTTAATGTTGAACCAGTGTGATCATTGTTGACTAAAACTATTAAAAATAAAATTTGTTAACAGAAATAATTCTGAAATTAAGTAAAATTTAATTATTAGATGAAAAATTTCAACTTAAAAAAGCACAAATGTAGCATTCCTAATTATATCACGGCTAAACCTATGTATCTGGACGCATTCTTGGAAGGAAGTCATAGTGAGGGTAGTACCATCTCCTTCCTATACAAGGCTTTAGAATAGGTGAAAAGTCTATCTATGGAGAAAATGTAATCTGCCTGGGAAGAAGAACTTGCTATGGAAATTCCTATTGAAATTTGGGAACAAAGTCTTGAACTTGTTCACAAATGTTCCATTAATGCAAGACATTGTCTTATTCAGTTTAAAACACTTCATTATTCCAAGTGTAAATTACACAAAATATTTTCGAGAAGTATTGCCATTATGCGATAAATGTCAATTTTTAGATTCCAACCTGTCCCATTCCTATGTTATGTGTCCAAAATTAAAAAGTTTTTGGAACAAAATTTTCCAGGTTTTTCCAGACACTTTGGGCACACGTATTGAACCAGATCCTATATTAATCATATTTGGAGTTTCGGAAGAATTTTTGAGACTTACACAGGTCCAACGACATGGGCTAATCTCTGCCAAGAAACTTATTCTTTTGTTCTGGAAAAAAAAAGGAAGTTCCAACATTTAAAATATGTCTGACAGAGCTGATGGGTACACACGAATTAGGTATACCTTAAAAGACAAGATTTTGCTATTTGAAAAAATGTGACCGTTTATTTCTTTTCTGCAAACTTGTGATTACTATGTTTCTGATGCCTACATTACCTGCTTTTATTGTTGGACAGCACTTTTGGGTTGGATGTTTTTTCTGTTTTTCCTTCATGTATATCTGTTAGAATGCAAGTTCTATTTGATTGCATTTCCTGCGGAATTTAAAATATTTAAACACAAAAAAGCATAAATGAAAATTAGAAATATTGCACTGGCAACTAACTAAAATAAAATATGCTTGAAGTACTAAAATTACTAAAACTAAAATAAAAATTAAAGATAAATAGAAATAATTAAACTAAAAACTAATGATGACAAAAGCACATAACAATATAACTAAAACTTAAACTAAAATTTTAATGAAAACTGAATGTATTAAAATAAATACTATAATAATATATAAATAACACTAAAATAAAACTGTTTTGGAATCTGATTACATGGTATTGTTACATCTCTTTTCTTCCGGTCTCTTTCTGTGTCTTTCTCTGATCTAGGTGGAGCTTCATTGGGATGATGCCGTCTTTATGTTTGAATACTTTAAACCCAAGACCTTGCCAGAGTTTGACAGCTATAAGACCAGCACTGTCTCTGCTGACCTTGCCAACCTGCTTAAAAGGCTTTCTGGAATAATCCGAATCTGATTACATGGTATTGTTACATCTCTTTTCTTCAGGTCTCTTTCTGTGTCTTTCTCTCTCGATCTCTGATCTAGGTGGAGCTTCATTGGGATGATGCCGTCTTTATGTTTGAATACTTTAAACCCAAGACCTTGCCAGAGTTTGACAGCTATAAGACCAGCACTGTCTCTGCTGACCTTGCCAACCTGCTTAAAAGGCTTTCTGGAATAATCCCACGTAGCAATGGCCCCACGCTCTCTGTAGATGACGTGTCTGCCTATATCGAAGGAGGTGCTCTGAAGGTATGAGCTCATCGACTTTCATCCCTTCATCTAGATCTTTTTTTATCCGTTCATCTGTCATTGAACCCTCTGGTGCTCTTCGGTCACTTTTGACCGAAAAATTTTCTGTTTTTAATTTTTAAAAGTCACAGCTTTATCGGAATGATACGAAACTTGGTGACTTTTATGGCATTTGGAATTTGAACACACACAAAAATTGAGGGCATGATTCGAGCAGACGAAGTGGTCGTAAAAAAATAGTCACACTTGTGGTCTTCAGTCAAAAATGACCGACCATAGGAAATGAATGGGAAATCCACAAAAACACAATCAGTGTACAATCTACAAATCTGTCACAATGCAGAAAAAAAGTACATAGCAATGACAGGGTGAAACTCTAAAACATCAAGAGTGCCAAACCAACACATCCACTCACACACACACACGCGTACACACACACACATACCTATGAACTGGTGTGACTGTAACAGCAAATATGTAAAATAAAAGCAATAATTCAACTACAATGCAGTAAAAAAGCGGACAGCAAGGAAGAGGTTACACTCTAAAACATCAAGAGTACAAAACAGACACACTCACTCAAACACACACTCACAGACACGCACAAACATACACAATTATACACACTCAAATGAATTGGTATGGCTATAACCATATAGCCAAAAACAAGTCAGAAAACTGAAAAAAGAGGTTGAAATCAGATCAAACCCAGAAGGATTAAGCTCTGATAAAACATTTCTGTTCATTTTTTATTTTATTTTTATAGAATTTTAATGTTTTGTGTAACAAAATGCTTTCTCTGTGTTCAGGTTTGATTGTAGTAATAATAATTCAAAAACTGACGCTTCAAATCAACATTTCAAACAAACAAAATCGAAACCTTTACAAAAAGTTGTCTTTGAGAATGTCTAAATATATATCCAAACCCACAACTTAATAAAAATAAGTATTTGTCTAAAAACAATTAGAGAATTTATAGGCCTTTTATATATAGCTATATAGAAATCTATGGGCTAAACCATGGAATTGCAGAAGTTTTTCTTATTTTACTCCCACCAGATGGCACTAACCTGGCTTCAAAAATGGGATTTTAAAGGCATTGACTCTATTTTAACATGAAATACTGCATTCATTGAAAAGTATTATAAAAATATCTATTTAAAAAAAATTTTTAAATTATTTTTAATGGGCAGAAATTCATCATAATTATTGCATAAATATTAATTAGTGCCATGAAATTATCTCAAAATACAAAAGAAAAAAGAAAAAACATTACTGTATATTACATTGATTTTACTGGGGCGAGAAAATTTAAATTTCAGGTGTGTCAAGTGTGACTCCCAAATGAGGAGCACCAGAGGGTTAAAAGCATTTCTCCTTCTCCAAGGTGCCAGCGCTTCCAGAAGGAGCTTCCCCGGCACCCCTTGTGGTTAATGAGCTGTACTACCTGCTAGCGGACTACCACTTCAAAAACAAAGAGCAGTCGAAAGCCATCAAGTTCTACGTGCACGACATCTGCATGTGTCCCAACAGGTCTGTGACAGTTTTACGTTTGAAGTTTTTACCATCAATGTATTCAGCTGTAGGTGACTTTTATCTCTCCAGGTTTGACTCATGGGCAGGCATGGCACTGGCACGCGCCAGTCGCATCCAGGACAAGCTGAACTCCAATGAGCTCAGGAGTGACGGACCCATCTGGAAAAACTCTCTGGCTGTGCTGACCTGTTTCAAACGGGCTCTGGAGATAGACCGCTCCAACCTCTCCCTATGGATCGAGTATGGTACCATGTCCTATGCCTTGCACTCCTTCGCTTCCAGACAGCTCAAACAATGGAAACACGAACTTCCTCCTGACTTGATCAAACAGGTACTTCTGTTTGTGAAGATGAAGACTCATCTGAGAGCGAGAGAGCCATGAGTGTGTGTTAAACTAGAAATAAGAGACTCTGTGTTTCAGGATTTGTGTCAGCTACTGTTTGTTTGTGTTTAAAGATGGAAGAGCGCAGAGACTCGATGTTGGAGACGGCGTCGCAGTGTTTTCAGAGCGCTTCTCGCTGTGACGGCGATGAGGAGGAGTGGCTCATTCACTACATGCTGGGGAAGATTGCTGAGAAGCGCAAACTGCCGCCCAAAGACTACCTGCAGCTGTACAAAATGGTGATGAGCTAGGCTACAGCTGGCCTGGTGGATAATCTGATTGGCTATTGAGAATGTGTGACATCCATCACTAGGCTTGTTTAGTAGCATTTTCAGACCTGTAGGTTGTTTGCTTTGTTCTAAAACAGGAGCTTAATTTGGTTTGTTTAGCTTCAAGTTAATTCAAGTCACATTTATTACTATAGTGCTTTATGCAGTACAGATTGTGTCAAAGCAGCTTCACAGAGATAAAAAGGAAAACAGCGGAATCAGTTATGGAAATGCAGCTATGAAGATAATTCAAATTCTGCTGTAAAAGAGCTCTTAAAGACAATAGTGTTAATATTTAGTTAAGCCAGTTGAGCAAGTTTAATTAAGTCAGTTTGGATCAAAGCGTACCATAATGTGTCACATGTGAGGGGGTGTTTACATGACATTGTTTTCAACTAAAAACGGAAAAACGGTTTGTGTTTTTATGTGCGTTTACATGACAACAGCGTTTGAGGGCCTCATAGTGCAGATTTTTGAAAATGGTTTCAAAGTGCACGTTTTTGAAAATGATGCCATTATCATCTCCATGTTAATACAAAAACATCATGCACATGCGTATTACTTGTTCAGTCTATAGGCATGCGTGAGTGTTTTTACAAAATGACATTGCCATCTAGTGGCCTGGCATACATAATACAGCATTTTAGCTGTTTTCGTGGATCCGTGTGAATTGGGATCGTTTGTCGTATGTAAGTGAAACTTTTCAAGAATGCTAAGGAAAAGCTTTTTCGTTTTTAGTGCATTGTAATTGCGTAAATGTACCCGGAGTAAAACTATCCTCTCATTGGTCAGAGTGCATCTCTTTATGTTCTGGGATTTGACTCAAGTTAGCTCCATGGGCTTATTTGTGGCTATAACTGAATCTTTTGTTAACACGCACACTTATATGATATCTAAGCCTTCATTCCTGCTCCACCTGATTAAATATATATAATGCATTTGCCATTAACTGTAACCTAATGGTTAGAGAGTCGGACTCATAACCCAAAGGTTGTGGGTTCGAGTCTCGTACCGGCAGGGATTGTAGGTGGGGGGAGGGAATGTACAGCGCTCTCTCCCACCTTCAATACCACGACTGAGTGAGGTGTCCTTGAGCAAGGCACCGAACCCCCAACTGCTCCCCGGGCGCCGCAGCATAAATGGCTGCCCACTGCTCCGGGTGTGTGTTCACGGTGTGTGTGTGTTCACTGCTGTGTGTGTGCACTTTGGATGGGTAAATGCAGAGCACTAATTCCGAGTATGGGTCACCATACTTGGCCACATGTCACGTCACTTTCACTTTTTTTGCTTTCACTTTTTTGTTTGTCTGTTGGATCGGATTGATTTCTTACCACAACCGAACCGTTCCAGAGTTCTGTGTCAATTAGGCTGACAGCAACTTATTCAGGCAATGTCAGACTGATTGTTTTGGCGTGGATCCGAGCACGATTGCCTTGTTTATATATGCCTAAATTATCTGAACTAAAGAAAAAACTAGCCAGGTTCCTGAACAAATGCTCTAAATCAGCCAGGTGTGAAAACATGTAAATCGAACACGCCAACAGTTCAGTTATACAGTTTGAGAATGATTAGGACACTCTGACATAAGTGTACTTTTAGTCACTTGACTGCAAACTCACCTTCAGGTCTGACTCTGTTCTGGTATGAAATGCCTACTTTTCACCGTTCAGTTAGTTCCTTGTGGATAAAATTGTGTGAAATATGTAAAGCCGTTGCTGGGGTTTTGTGTGTGAAAGTGGCTGCTGACCGCCCAACAGTCAGACACGCATCTCATTACAGCCCTTGTGTCATCTCTCTCCAGTCTGCACACTACCTGCATGAGGAGGCAGCCAGATACCCACGCAAAATCCACTACCACAACCCACCGGACCTCGCCATGGAGGCCTTAGAGGTATGTAGTGGAATAGGGCTCATTTACACTGTGGCGTACACTACCATTCAAAAGATGGGGGTTGGTACAATTTTGATATTTTTAAAAGAAGAGCCTTATGCTCAACAAGGTTGCATTTATTTGATCAAATATACATTAAAACAGCAATATTGTCAAATATTATTACAATTGGAAATTTTCTATTTTAATATATTTTAAAATGTAATTCATTCCTGTCATGCAAAACTGAATTTTCAGCATCATTTCTCCAGTCATTACTTCAGTGTCACATGATCCTTCAGAAATCATTCTAATATGCTGATTTGCTGCTCAAGAAACATTTCTTATTATTATCAATGTTGAAAACAGATGTACTGCTTCGAATTTTTGTGAAAATGCTTTCTTTCTTTTTTTTACGATTCTTTGATGAATAGGGAGTTCAAACGAACAGCATTTTTCTTTTTTCTAAAATTATTTTTTTAATTTAAATTTCTTTTCTTCAGTGACCTCAAACTGTTGAACAGTAGTGTATTGCAAGTACTCCCATACTATGAAAAAACAATCGAATACAAGTTGCATTTAAATTCTTCCGGAAATATATCTCTTCTCTTACTTCGGCCAGCTGTTTTTCCGCCTGAGCGCCACCATTCTGAAGTTGCTGGAGAATGAGGAAGATGATGGTGAACAGTCTGAGCAGCAAATGAAGCTTCTGGATTATGAGCTGTTCTTCAACATGCTCTCCGAAGCTGCCGTCGGACCCTTTGCACGCGGAGAGGAGAAAACCACGGCCAAAACCAGCAATGACAAGTATGACCACAAACCTTTTAAGCTTTAAGCTTGGAGGGCCTAAAATTGTCAAACATAGACTAAGATTCTGATTTCAGTTGATTACAGCTCTATATCAACAAACCTTTAAAAAGAGGAGACTGCATTGCCATTGCTGATATTACACACTGTAGTCTTGCACAAGATTAGTAGCAAGCTTAAAGTTAACCCAGCACTCATTTTAGACAGACTTTAAGGCTGTTTCCTCACTTGATTAGATTGCTAAGTGCAGAGTTTTGATGAAGATATTTGTAATGAAATCTGAGAGGTTTCTGTCCCTCCATTACATCCTACACAACTACTAGTCAAAGCCCAGAAATGCAGTAAATACATCTTTGAAGTAGTCCATGTGACTCCAATGGTTCAGCCTTTGTTTTATGAGGCGATGGCAATGCTTTTTGTGCACAAAAATAACTACTTTATTAAACAGTTTCTTCACTTCCACGTTGATCTCAGATGCACCTTCACAAAAGCACCACGATGTGTGTTGTGTTGACATGAGAGCAACGATGTTAAAAGAACCCTACATTTTATAGAATCTTTCCGTGTTTTTGTTTTGTTAGCATAATTTTTTTCTCCCAACAGGGAAAAGCTTCCATCCATTAACGATGAAGACTCGCGCTCCTCGGCTGGCGTGAGTACCTGTCCACAAGCGTTGACCACCTCATCTGTCACATCTGTGGTGGCTCCAACAACTGCTTTGCCTGGTGACGGTGCGGCAGGTGCGAGTTCTCCCCCGTACGTGGTCACTCCGGTCGACCACGATTACATCAAATGTAAAAGCCTGCAGCAGAGGCACAGGCAGGGGCAGGAGCTCCAGCAGCAGCAGCAGCAGGACGGTACAGTACCAGGGCCAGAGAATAACTCACTCACTCACTCATGCACGGGGGAATGAGGATGATGAAGCTTACAGTATTCACCACTATTAAATCTGAATTATGGGCTCTGGTGTACAATAACATCTCCTCCCACCCCTCTTCTTACCATCTGCACCAGGCCTTAGAGGATCATGGGAAAATGGGCAACATTGCTTACAGTGTCTCAGCATTTTTTCCCCCTTTCTTTATTCGCTTTGCTTCAGTTACACTTTGTCATTTCTTGCCTTCAGGTAATGAAATCAGATTTTCAGTCAGAATGGTTTACATTCATTCTTTACATTGTTTACGCTGCTGAGTTGCCTTCACATTTTGTGTTTTTCACCGTTTTATTTGCACTTGACATTCCTGCATGAATAATGAATGTGCTTTGCACTTGCTGCTCACCCAGTAAATCATGTATTCTCTGCTGACCTTGTGGTGTAGGTAACCTAAATTTCAACATGGTTGGCCATTTGTTACATTTTAAATTAATTAGGTCAGAAGTTGAGCAAGAGTGTAGTAGAAGCTTCTGAGCTATGCAGTTTTGTTCGGCCTTATTGGAATAATACACATACATTTTTTGGGCTGTCATGATTTCTTCTCAGTGCTCTATATCTGCTTCCTTCCTATCTTGTAAATTAATCTTAGTGTTCAGGTCTTCAGAATTCTACTTGGTATTCTGTTATCAAAATGAAGTAAATTGACTTAATATCTCATTAATTCAACTTAGTAAGACAACTTGATATTTTTGTAGACTTGATATATTGCTGTCTCAACTTAGTGTTGTGCTAGTTTTCTTAGGAAGTTGACAGTGTCTTATTTCAACAAGGTAAATTATTTCAGCGCAGTAAGTCAAATTAATATCTTGTCATTTCAACTTAGTAATTAATTTACATACAGTAAATGTAAGTCAACTTCGTATCTTATTTTTGATGTAGTATTTTAATGTTTCATCTTAGTAAATCGACTATATCTTGAAAGTGTTTCATGGCAACTTAGTGAATTCACTTCATATTTCTTTGTATTTTTAGTAAGTATTTTTGTAGACTTGATACATTGCTGTCTCAACTTAGTGTTGTGCTAGTTTTCTTAGGAAGTTGACTGTCTTATTTCAACAAGGTAAATTATTTCAGCGCAGTAAGTCAAATTAATATCTTGTCATTTCAACTTAGTAATTAATTTACATACAGTAAATGTAAGTCAACTTCGTATCTTATTTTTGATGTAGTATTTTAATGTTTCATCTTAGTAAATCGACTATATCTTGAAAGTGTTTCATGGCAACTTAGTGAATTCACTTCATATTTCTTTGTATTTTTAGTAAGTACTTAGTTATTTCAAATCTTTTGAAAAATAAAATGTCAAAAGTTACTGGTTTTTAATTTAAAATGTTCTTGTCTTTTTGACAAAAGTAGTTGATGTCATTGTCAACTTAGTAAGTTGACTTTGTATCTAGTTATTTTGACTTTTCCTTTGTTTCAACACAGTAAGACAACTTGGTGTCTTATTTCAACATAATATTTCATTGTTTCAATTTTGTATGTTGAAATAATGGGATACACATCTGGCGTACAAAACTGAAATAATGAGAGACACACCTGGCTAAGTAGAAATGATGAAATGCTAAGCATGAATGACAAGTTAGTAAAAGAGACGTCCACTTAATATTTGAACATACTATTTAATTATTTTAATTTTCAACTCACAGGTTTTCACTTCAGTAAAACAACCCTATATCGATCAATTTGTGACATATTTATTGAATATTATGATTATACATAGTGCCACTACCTTTACATGTATGTATTTAGCAGATGCTTTTATTCAAAGTGACTCACAAAAGACAAACATAAGCAATTTTTCAAAGACAACAGTTTATTCCTTTTTAAAATCTTTTTAAAAATCTTTTATTAGAGCCCGACCGATATATCGTTTTGCCTATATTATCGGCCGATATGAGCCTGTCGCAGATATATCGTATCAGCGAATATGCCGCCGATATGAAATTTTTTTTGTAGAACATATAACGCAGATTAAATGCTTCTGAATGGTGTAATTACTTAGTTTGTCCAGCAGAGCGCTGTCCGCTGCTTCAAATTATCCGCCTGCTACCCACCCGCACCTATATTTGATCGTCACATTACAAAGATTCTAATTCTTAGTTTTGCATGATGATATGATGTATGGATGGTTCATTTGTAACAGCAGATTCAGTGACGTTAGAGACTAGAGCTGATCTGCGCTTCACGGCACGCATCTGCGGCGCATTAAATCCTGTGTTACGGCTATCTTTTATAATATCAAACAAGCTAAATTTTCTCTCTAATGTTTAAAACGTCATAGTACGGAAGTTCTAAGAGGCCATGGGTTATGACTATTTTTCTTTCTTGTTTTCTTGTGATCATGACTTAATTATCTCATGATCTCGTCATAAGTTTTTTTTTTTTATAACAATGATTCTTTGATTTTTTTAAACACGATGCGTTGTGAGTCTACATTACAAATATGTCGCTAAAGAGTGTCATAGACAAACACAACATAATCCCCACTTATTAACTAACAATCATGCACTTCAAAGATGCATAAAAAATATATAGGTGCAAACAGAATACTACACAGTGACGTCAACATTGCTTTTAATAAGCAGTTAGTTTAGTACTACGCCGAACGCTATTGCGGTAGTGAAACTTTGATGAGTCAAACATCTAGCAGTAAGAACGATTACAAATATGTCGCTAAAGAGTTTCATAGACAAACACAACATAATCCCCACTTATTAACTAACAATCATGCACTTCAAAGATGCATAAAAATATATAGGTGCAAACAGAATACTACACAGTGACGTCAACATTGCTTTTAATAAGCAGTTAGTTTAGTACTACGCCGAACGCTATTGCGGTAGTGAAACTTTGATGAGTCAAACATCTAGCAGTAAGAACGTAACGATAACAGATACACTTTCAACAAAATATTCATATTGATTCAAGCGTTTAACATTTATAAGTTAATTAAATGTCAGTAATGAACAATACTGCACAAATTATAGTGATCATGAAGAAGGTCCTAATTCTGTCCCAAACGCATGCAGTAAAGTGGACATACAGTATACAACACCCCATCAGTTATATTCAGTTATACTGCCACCTGTTGGCACAGCTGTGTAACTTAGAGAACAACTTTTGTTATGTCGAGATCACGAGAAAATTAAGTCGTGATCACAAGATAACTTATGTCGAGATTAAGATGAAGTCATGATCACGAGAAAACAAGAAAGAAAATAATAATCCGTGGCCTCTTAGGACTTCCGTAGTGCTCTTTGTCAGCTTTCAGCCTTCTTATACTGTGGTAACTTCTATCAGTTTTCAGGTTTAGCCATGCTTTTGAGAGGTCCAGCATAACAAAACTATTATTCCAAAATAATGTTAAAATCAATTCTTCAGTGAGAAGCAATTCATTTCCAGTTCACATAGTTGGAATATTTGAGTTTCAGATGTTTTTTGTAGTAGTTTGAAAGGGGGCATTGCATAGGACAGTTGATTAAATATTGCTGTGGCCTGTTTTGATTAAATGGAGTCAGTATTTTTGAAACTGTGTCAGAAGGGGGTGTTGGCCTAGTTGCTGGAGTCAGTTTCAGCTTGGTGTGTTCATTTTCTGAAATACAGTTCTTAGATTTAGTCACTTCAGTCTTTAGGTGGATTGTCAGGGGCTAAACTTCTGCTCAGCTCTTGTTGTGTTCATCAGAGCTTAGGCTAAATAGCATGTGGCTTGCATGGCTGTCAATGGGCATTGGGCATAGTGTAAAGTGTTTCACAATTTATGAAATATTATCATTATAATTGGTAAAAACATAAAAATCATATAGATGTGTCGTATATAGTAGGAAAGGTCTCAGTTAGTAGAATGTGAAAAACCTCAGACTCACATATAAGGGGGCTTTCAAACATGGTGTGATCTTTAATTGCTAATGGAATGTAATATGGTTCATTTTTAACCGAAACAGTGCAAGAACATGCTTCATGTGTGAGCGACCCCTAAGAGATGTACTGTTTTCTTTTTATTTATTTATTGGCTGTATTTACTTTCTCTGTGTCGATAATCATTTTTATTTTCTCAGTTATTTGTGAAGTGCAGCATATGACTTGCTAATGGAATGCAGTGGTAATGGACAGGGTTGGGAGGGTTACTTTTAAAATGTATTCCGTTACAGTTACCAATTACTTCATTAAAAAAGTATTCAGTAACGTAATCCAAGTACCACAATATAAAATAATGTAATCTGATTACTTTTGGATTACTTCGTCACATATGTAAATAAAGTCAAAAAAGCAATATCCGAGTACTTTTATTGAACTATGACTTTAAAATTAAAACTATTAAAAACTAGTAAAAACTATTTGAAATTATTATAAATCGCATTGCAGCCCGTATATATATATATATATATATATATATATATAATTTTTTTATTTCTTTAATGTACAAGAAAAAAATATATAGTTCATACACAATATTAAAAAAATTACACCATATACATTTTTAGTCTATTTTAAAATAAGCCTACATGTCGAAATATAAGTGAAATGCTATGATCTTTCTTTATTTCAGTGACTGATCCGGGGTGTGGGGACTCTCGTGTTAATTTCTAAATTTTCCAGCTCATTTTCCGCTAGTTACTAGATTTTTGTATCCTGATTACGTAACGCCGTTACATGTATTCCGTTACTCCCCAACCCTGGTAATGGATGCTTTATTTAAGCTTGAGCGCTCATGATGTAAGTTGCTGAAAAAACAGTGAAACAGTGCAAGAACACACTTCATGTGTGAGCGACCTCTAAGACACGGGTACTGTATTTTTATTGCTGATAATTGTTTTCAGTTTTCCAGTTATCTGTGAATAATATAGTATATCCCACTAAATAAGATATTACTAATAATATGTAGTGCAGCCCTGATTCTTTTCATGTTTTTTTTGTTTATTTAGTCATTTTTTTGTGGCTGGCCTCATGTCATTGCCTCACTGAAACCACAACGGCTTGCTGCAGATTTGAAGTGTGATTTTTTTTAAAGGTGAACATTGTGACATGTTGCCCATATTCCTCAGTCGCTCCCATGGCCTGCTTTAGTCTCCCTGTCTCCCTGCTGCCTCCTGCCTGCTCCCTTTCTGCCTGCCTCTGACCTGCTTCCCACCTGCTGCTTCTTAATGGGTGCATGATGGGTCAGCTCCCTGATTCAACAAAGACTTCCCACAATGCACTCCGCACTGCTCTGTGTGCAAACTGACATTAGACCAACGTGTCTGCCGTGGCTCACATGTGTAAGGGAGATTGTTCTTGTGGGTTGTTCTGAATAATGTGGTTTGGTAAAGACAGTGGGAAGCTTAAACGGCTTTTTCTGCAAATGTTGGTGAGTGGATGAGTTTAGCGTCTTTATCAGCTGATACAACAGTTCAAGACCTGATGAATTCACTCTCCTTCTGTATGATTGTTGATTTTAAAGGCCCCAATATACTCGCAGTGAAGTTCTTTTTGTTCTTCGCTCTTTTTTTTGTTCTTTCTATCTCAACACTGTGAGAACGGCATTTAGATGAATATGTAAATATGTGTGTTTTCCTCTCGGTTAAAAAATAGACAATTAATTGGAGATTTGCATGTCAGTGAAGGCGGAGCTCGCAAACTCCCGAAACGAACTAACGAACGAAATTTGCTTCGGCTTAATTTTGTTTGAAATGCTGTCACAACAGTTCAAGTCTTTGATTTCGCTTGAAGTATATCGGGGCCTTAATGTGTCAATGTCATGAAAACACGTGCAGGTCTTATTTCACCTCAAAATCAAAAGAAAAGATATTCTGAACGAAGATGATGATGCCTGGTTTTGCTTTGAGGCATCATTTTCAACACAATTTTCCCCCAAAATGTGGTGAAATATGACTCAGAAATAACCTCTAAAAGCTGCCCATTTCTCAGCACAACAGATAATGAAAGATCTCCTCTATTCACACTACAGCGGTACACAAAATATACAACTGTATGACTTTTCTCCAGGTTATGAAACGTGTTCTAAACTGAATTTCCTCTACAGCTGACTTCTCACGTGACCATGACTACTGCCTGTGTTTCTCTGCTTTGCGGCCAGGATCTGTGTATGGTACAGACGCCCTTCCTCGCACAACCGATAGTACGAAACTACTGGCTCGCCTATCATTCCTCAAAAGCAGAGCTTAAGTTCCCCAACGAATAAACAACTGATGTGTGTCCAAAGGTCAAGAACCCTGAACACCATAGAGCTCAACAGTGACTATGCACTTAGTTTTACAGAGGGCTTGGATTCCATTTTCCCCACTGGAATTTCAAAGATCGTTCAATACTTAATAGATGAAAGATTTCACCCCACGCAGATTTCACAACGGGGTCAACTTGGTTGTGCAGATTTGCCATGTTGACAAACAGTATGCTGTTTGGTTTGAAAGTGACTTCTGTGTGAGCTGTGCTTTATACATCACTACACTATAAACAACCATTTTATCCAGCAAAATTTTGCTAATGTAAACGGACCTTAAGAGCAACTTCAGCCTTTAGCTAACATTATGTAGCTAACCTCCTGAAATATGGTATGTTTAATGAATTTCACTGAGAATGCGCAATTAAACACTTTTTACATTTTTGTTTAAGTCTACATTAGAAAAATATTTCATGCTTAAGAGCTGTTTCACAAAGAAGATTTTTTTTTTTTTACTTTAATGACCTTACTGTTGAGCTCATTATTCTGATTGTTTTAATTCTCAGCATTTATAACTGACACTATATTGGAATAACAATAACTGTATTGGAGCTATAGTTTGGTTGTGCGCTCTGCTTTTGAGGAAAGTGACCCCAATATTCACTGTTCTAATATTTACTGTGGGTCACATCAAAGAATATTATGCAGTAACACTTGACCTTTTCAAAACAAAAGCCCTTTTCTTCTGTGCAATTAATGTTACAGCACTCTTACTCTGTTGATGATTTCTCCCCTCAATCGGATCAGTCTTTTCTGCACTGAAACGCCTGTCATTTTCCCTGTCTAGCACTTCCCAGCACATAACCGGGTCCCGTCTAGACCTTCTTTGTGTCTTTGACATACTCTTGAGCTCCTGTTGAAATCTGTAGCAGACCAACTAACGGGCCTCCTGGCAGTGTTGGCCTATAGCTGCTAATGCGCTCTGCAGGAAGCTGCAATTTTGCGCTGACACAGCGCCATTTTTCCCCTTCACACTGAGTGTGCGGGTGCGTTGGTGTTCTGTGGTGGAGGGGAGGGGGGTGTTGCCATCGCACTCTGTTGTGTCATGGAGGTGATGGTGTGTGCTAATGAATTTCTACTTTCCACTAGAAAACTTACACACAACTGCATTCATGCACACCATGGAATTTGAAATCACTAACAAACTCTAAATTTTAGCTAACATGATGATTTCCATGCTAGTCGTACCTGCAAATGTTCAAGTTGGTTGAGTAGCCTTTGTTAAAGCAAGAATCCTCTTTGAAAACAAAATAACTGTGAAATTTCCAGATAAGAAAAAGTTTTTCCCAGCAGGAAGCATCGTAATTCATTTACTGTAGCAGCGTCTCATCCCGCGTTTGAGGAGAATAATGGTAGACGGGTGTTATTTGCGCACGCACCAGCAGGTGGCTCACGTGAGTCAACATGAGTGTCAACAGAACCAGGAACTATGATGAAGCAGCGCTAAATATAGCGTTATTATGTCAAAATACTCATTTATTCAATTTTAAATTAAACAAATGTAATCCTGATAGTATTCCCACTTTTTAGGGGCTTTTTCTGCTTGTTTGTGGGCAGCACAAGAGGAATTACATTAACTTTCTTTTCTGGGCTTGCTGAAAAGCACAATATTTTCAAGCGCTTTGCTCTACCTCAGGAGCAGGCTGATTCGACACCGCATTGAAACATGCGCCCTGTAACCTCTTACCTCAGACCTGGATCAAAACCACTGTACCTGTTAAAGGAATAGTTCATTTAAAAAATGTAACTTCTTTCATTAATTACTCACCGTAATGTCCTTCCAAACCTGTATGACTTAAGCGAGAAAGTCCATTCATCTGTTTGAATATGCAAAAGTACAAATCAGGTATGAGAATTACTGTGAAAGGAAATATCAACAGTGAATAACTACTTAAATTTTAATCTTTTTAATTTCCTCACAAAGCAGAAGACTTGGAATATAAGTCATAGACAACTTTTTTTTTGTGTGCTTTTTTCCCCTTTTTAACAGTTTGTCCTCATTGACTTTCAGAGTAGGTAGAAGCAAAACATTACAAAATTTTGTGTTCTGCAGTAGAAAGTTAAGAGCATATGGATTTGGTTGAGCATGAGGGTGAGTAAATAATGACAGAATTTTTGTTTTGTGGCTTAAAGGGATAGTTCACCCAGAAATGAAAATTTGATGTTTATCTGCTTACCCCCAGGGCATCCAAGATGTAGGTGACTTTGTTTCTCCAGTAGAACACAAATGAAGATTTTTAACTCAAACTGTTGCAGTCTGTCAGTCATGTAATGGCAGTCAGTGGGCTCCACGGCTTTGAGAGTAAAAAAAACCATACACAGACAAAACCAAATTAAACCCTGCAGCTCGTGACGATACATTGATGTGTAAAGACACAAAACGATCGTACAGTATAAGTAGATGCCTCATTAGTGACTGTTTCTATGGGCTGCGATATGATCCAAAATGGCGGACGCGTCAACGTATCTGGAGCGGTCGAATAGGGCATCTATACATATCTATGATAGTAGACGCAAATGAGGTGTGTTTTTCCGTCTACAAACCCGAATAGGATTTTTCAATTGGCTTTTGGATTATTGCAGAAAATAAGTTCAGTTACCAACAAAAGTTTATGATTCTTACACGTTTTGTTCACAAAAAAATAGAAAATTACATAAATGGCGAGTAAGCGTCATCTCATAAATAACTGAAAATTTGGTCAGTGGCGGGGAAAGAGTTGAAATCCACAAGTTGGAAAGTTTGAGTTAAAATAGTTTGCAAGATTGCGATTATAAACAGAACAAGGCAGTAAAAGCAGACTAATGAATAGATTAGTTTACCCGTTCGATTTAATGTTAAAGAAAGCATTTGTAGTCCCACTAGTAATTACATATTTCAAGACATGTAATATCTTTAAAAAAAATCACAAGTGGGATATTACTGATGGATTTTATGGCATAGAAAAACATGGGTATATCTTGGGCTTGTGTTAAATACAGACCTTATTTCAGGCATTTAACCAAAAATTCACTTTCTAACTGGTTTCCGAGTTTTAGGACTCATTCTTGCAGCATTTTATTGCTGTTCCTTTAATTTGTAGAAAGTGATAGCAAATGTTCTCAGATACAAAATTCTGATTTCCCTTTCTCCGTGTTAAATTCCAAAACCTTGTTCCAACATAAGCCTGCCTGCTCTTCAGGAATAGCTACATTTGTAAATCTGTCAATCCAGCAAATGTTTCCAGCCTTGTGTTCATTGGAGGTTATCACACAAATGGGATCCGTGTTGATTGGTGAATTGTGCAAATTGGGCTACTATGAAACAATAAATGAATAAAGGGTCTTTTTCATTACATGAATATTTACAAAGGACTGAAGAGGACGCTCTTGTTGAATGAGTGTAATTGTGTGGTATATTTTTTCCCTAAATCAGAGCAAAGTCAGGACAGCGTTGCTGGCATGTCGGACTCCAGCTCCTTGCAGGATGTCTTCATGGACGCCACCAGCTCACAGGACAGCAGCCACAAGGTCGATTCTGGGAAGTGTAGTATTTTTCCGGAAGAATCAAATGCCACTGGAAAAGAGAAACCGGCCACAGCAGAGGATGCAGGTATTGATCCCAGTTCTTCTAAACACGTACTTAATGCACATTTTGGAAATAATTTATGATTTATGAATTTTTAACCCTGTTACAATAACAGTATTTATTGTATTTGCGGGAGCAAATAATTTGAATTATTGTTCTGTCTGTGGAGCTCAGGAGTGACTCTCGAACTGGTTAACACATGGTTACAATCATAATCATAATCATGATAAAGGTGGCTGCCAACAGATTAACCAGTAAATACTTAATGGTTATTAGGCACATCTCCCGTCATATTCCCATTATGGTTAAAAAATCTAATTATATTTGCTTAATTGTGGTCAAATGTATTTAATATTTAGCATTTAGTATTAATATTTACCATATTGTATTCTTATATTTTTGTAAACACTCACCAACCCAAAACTTTTGTACCGTTGTATATAAATATTGTAATTAGTTTTTTGTTTAATATTTTTTTTTTATGAAATTATTGAATAACTCTAAAAATAATTGAATGTAAAATGATCTTAATTGTCTTGAAAATGTCTTAATTTTCTTTAAGCTAAAAATTATTTCAGTCACATTTTTGTATGGGGACCAATTCTCACTATTAATTAACTATTAACTACGACTCCTAATTTTCTGCTTATTAATAGTTAATAAGGTAGTTGTTAAGTTTAAGTATGGGGTAGAGATTAAGGGATCTAAAATTAGTTCATGCAGAATAAGGCATTCATATTATAAGTACTAATAAACAGTCAATATACTAGTAACTTGTATGCTAATAAGCGACTAGTTAATAGTGAGAACATGTCCTTAAAATAAAGTGCTACCATAATTTCTTAGCATTTTCTTTTGATATTGGATTGAAATAAAAGCCAGACATGTTCTTGACAGTTTTCCTGAAATTCAGCCAATATCGGTCTTGCCAGGATCACAAAACACAGTGGATTATCATTTCCTACTCTGTTGCTTTTTACAATCAAGTTCCTCTGCCCTCTTAAAATCCCACAGGCCCCTTGGAGGACAAGAACATGGATATCAGCTCTGCCACACTCTCTCAAGAATCTTCAGTCACACAAGAGTCTTCAGACACCACCTTATCCATCACCTCCCCTGAGGCCTCTGTCCCCAAAACCCCTACCACAGACACCCCGACCCAAGCTCCACCTCTGCCACTGCACTCCACCCAACCACACAGACCCCACCCTCAGACCAGCTCCTCCACTGAGTGCAAGCGCAGGCCAGAGCCGCCGCCTCCGCTGGAGGTGATAGAGTTGCCTAAGTGTCTGCCGCCGGGATGGCGAGAGCAGAGGAAAACACTAGTGGAAGTGTGTGTGAGGTCTCTCTTCCTGTGTCTGAGTCGCTACCCGCAACACTACAAGAGTCTCTATCGTCTGGCCCACCTGTACTCCTACAGCAAGAAACACAAGGTGCGCATACACACACACACACACACACTTTGTACACACACCTCACAGTGTATCATTTCTGCACCACTGAAATACAGGAATGCAAACTTGCATGTGGTCTGAGACAAATGAAGTAGAGATCTTTTTTTTTTGTTTTATCTCTAAAAAAATAATCAGTGTTGTGCAAGTTACTCTGGAAATGTAATTCAATTACTGATTACTCCTTTTAAAAGTAATCAAGTTACTGTTCTTATTACTTTATTTCAAAAGTAATTAGTTACATCAAAAGTTACGTTACTTTTTTTCTGTCCATCCTTGAAATTTCCATGAAATAGTAAGTTTCGTGTTGCCTAGCCACAACATTCCAGCATAAACGCTACCGATAAAATATTATTAATGTTATTAAAGCATCAACATTCACAAACCACTGTTATTTTTAACTAAAAGCAAGCATAGGCTGCTGCGTGCATGGTTTGGCATGGCAGAATGCGAGCAAAGAGCGCTCCCTTTATAATCTCTATTAAAAGCTGACATCTCAGTTCATCACGATCTCACAAAGCTCTGTTATAACATATAGTTTTCTTGTTGCTTTTGTGCAATAGATGAATAACAATTTATTTGTTTTTGGATATTTTATGTTTAGATATTTCTATTTTGCGTGAGTCCAGCGAATCATTTTATTCTCCCGCATCCCGCTCACACACGAGTCTCTACCCACCCACACCCGCCCATCAAATCTCATCCCGCGCCGCACTCTGTTGCGTCGGGTCCCGCGGGAGTGCAGGTCTCTAATCCACTAGCACTGGACTCGACAGTATAAGTTGACGCACTGCTCTCCGCGCCCAGTACTTTCTCGAGAAGTTTTACCGTGCTGTGCTGCTCTTTCAGGTGTTTTAAATAGGATGTGGAGTTTTTCACGGTTGAAAAGATTTTCTTCGCCCCACATAATTGGCAACGCACAATAATGTTCTTGCCTTTGACAGAAATAAATTCAAAATAGAAAGTGTACTTTTCTCTCTCCAAGCTGAGTTTTTTTTTTTGGTTGGTTGTATCCGCCTCGCAGGCGCTTACCAGTCAAAGTAGGTCTCAGGTAGAGGACGTCGCGTGTGCTACACCCTTTTTACAATCTTCTGTAGATGATAAAACAGTGCATTGTGTTGGCAATGATGTAACACAGCGGGAACATATAGAGACCTTGACTTGGAACTATACTTTAATTTTTATTTTGGAAATTATAACATGTTAAATTTCTCTGTTACTAAAAAAGAAATCAAATTACTAATAAGTAATGCATTACTGCCCAACACTGAAAATAATAATATTTATTAAGTAAATTTTCTTCCCAGGGGTCGCATCTTTTTCACCCATGATGAATGAGTTTGCAACCCTGTTGTGCTAATGTATTTTGGTGAAATTCACAGTTTTGACTCGGCACATTTTTCTGAAGGACTACAATAAACACTAAAGTTTATTAATTACTACATAGTTCAAACTTTTCTTCTATTTTACAGATTCTACCAAACCTGTCAAGTGTCATGTAACCAAACGCATAGTCACGCAACAATTATTATTAGTATATTAATAATTTAATATTAATAAAATGTCAAGTAACATCATCTTTTAAAGTACTACATAAATATTAATGTTATAATATGCTATAATCTTTAATGCCTGTTATAAAATAAAAAATAAAAACTTTTTATACATGTTTTTCAAACACCATTATCGTAAACTAAAAATAAAATAAACATATACTTTTTATTTCTCTTATAAAAAAAAAAAAACTTGTTACACCGGTTTTTCAAACACTTCCTGTCGGAGTTATCGTTAACTAAAACTAAAATAAAATATTAACTGAAATAAAATTTTAACAAAATTTACTTTATTTCAGCTAGTTGCCAAGGCAGCATTTCTCGCTTTTGTTTAGTTTGTTGAAGTACTAAAATATCTAAAACTACATAAACTAAAGCTAAAAGTTACAACTCAATGAAACCATATAGACAAAAAAAAACTAAGACAAATTACAAAAACAACAAAATTACTGAAACTTCAAAAATTAATATGAAAACATAAGACAATATAAAAATAAAATCTCATTCAGAATATTAACAAAAACTATAAAAGTTTATCAATGATACTGAATGCTTGCTAAATTCTGCTATTGGTTGAACAGGTCAGTGAATCTTATGAATAAAAAAAAAAATCTCATTCTCATTACTGTAGTGTGAAAAAAAATGTGCATTAATAACAAATACTAAAAACATACAAAAATACTATTTACAGATGTACTTTACTGTTAAATATGTAGTGTAATAATAATTTAATAATAAACTTTTTCCCCATTATACTAATCAGAATGATATTTTCTCAATTTACAGTAGACAACTAAGAATTTACGTAATGGTCTTCGAGAGTCTTCATTTTCTTTATGCAGATTATTTCTTCTTATAGTACGGGGCTGTTGAATGCTTGAATCTGACTGGCTGACGAACATTCTAAGGTGTGCGATTATTTTCAGGGAAATTCACAGCTAAAGTAGTTCTAGGCAGGTCTTGACCGCATTACATGTCCATATCACTTCGCCAAATGATTTCAGTTATTTCAAAGGTCCTTACAGCCTACAACAGCAAAAGAACCAAAAATCCACAACGAAAAAAAACTTGTTACACCGGTTTTTCAAACACTTCCTGTCGGAGTTATCGTTAACTAAAACTAAAATAAAATATTAACTGAAATAAAATTTTAACAAAATTTACTTTATTTCAGCTAGTTGCCAAGGCAGCATTTCTCGCCTTTGTTTAGTTTAAGTTGAAGTACTAAAATATCTAAAACTACATAAACTAAAGCTAAAAGTTACAACTCAATGAAACCATATAGACAAAAAAAACTAAGACAAATGACAAAAACAACAAAATTACTGAAACTTCAAAAATTAATATGAAAACATAAGACAATATAAAAATAAAATCTCATTCAGAATATTAACAAAAACTATAAAAGTTTATCAATGATACTGAATGCTTCATAAATTCTGCTATTGGTTGAACAGGTCAGTGAATCTTATGAATAAAAAAAAAATCTCATTCTCATTACTGTAGTGTGAAAAAAAATGTGCATTAATAACAAATACTAAAAACATACAAAAATACTATTTACAGATGTACTTTACTGTTAAATATGTAGTGTAATAATAATTTAATAATACACTTTTTCCCCATTATACTAATCAGAATGATATTTTCTCAATTTACAGTAGACAACTAAGAATTTACGTAATGGTCTTCGAGAGTCTTCATTTTCTTTATGCAGATTATTTCTTCTTATAGTACGGGGCTGTTGAATGCTTGAATCTGACTGGCTGACGAACATTCTAAGGTGTGCGATTATTTTCAGGGAAATTCACAGCTAAAGTAGTTCTAGGCAGGTCTTGACCGCATTACATGTCCATATCACTTCGCCAAATGATTTCAGTTATTTCAAAGGTCCTTACAGCCTACAACAGCAAAAGAACCAAAAATCCACAACGACACTGACCAAGCTAATAAATATAGTAAACTATAGGATAAAAACGACAAATTATCTCCATGTTTTTGCCACAAAATTATGTTTTATTATGTACAGAAAGCACATACTCTATCTCTCCCACTCTCTCTCCCTTACAAACGCACACTCATACAGTACTGACACACACACACACACACACACACACACACAGAAACATACACATGCACAGAAACGTGTTGTCAGTGCTGCTCTGATGATTTGATCAGTAATATAGTTTAGCAACTTAAAAGCTACATGTCATTTGTCATTAGCAAGGTAATAACGCCGCTGTTCTTGAAGCAGATGTGTTTCGCTATTAGTAGACTCGCTGCTGCCGAACAGTGTTGAGAGACACACAGACTCAGCTAATTCACGCACGGTTAATCTCTCTCTCCCATAACTGCATTAATAACTGCATTACTAGCAACGGCTCAAGCCACCGTTACTAGGTCTAAAATGACAATTTGGAATTAGCAACAGAGGCGCTGGATGAGATGCGTAAGAAATGAATCCTTCTCACAACAGTCTTTTTAGGACAAAATCGGACGAATTTCTTGAAATACATCATCTGAACAATGTCTCTAGGTGTGGGAACCATAGTATAAGTGGAATAATTGACTCCGGTCCGTTAAATTATTTTAAAATAATGCACACCCGAGGTGTAATGCACGCCCGTCGTCAATTATTCCTTACTTGATTTTATGGTGAAGTATAACCATGACATTTCTTGACGGTGTTAATGAGATTCACCTTGTGTAGTCCCACCCCATTGACTGAGTCAGTGTTGAGCCGCTCAAAGTGTTTTGTAATCTTCACGGTGTTTATATTATATTTTAGGAAATCACACTGCAACTGGCTTGTAAGTATACTTATAGTTGTCTCTGCACATAACGCTGGAAAGTATTTTGACATAAAAAAGATATGCATGCGCTTTACAATAACCATCTACTGCACAAGAACACCAGAATCAGCTCTAGATATATGTGCATCTCTAATACTAACTCAGCCAAGAGGATGATATCATATTCACTAGTGTGTGAGTGTGTGTGTGTTTAAAGCCCGTGCACGGTGGATGCCACAACCTACAGATAGTTAGACTCACCTCATGGGTGTAAAAAGAGCAGTAGTGCCAAGTTAAGCGCAATGCCAGAATGTTGTGTAATACCCCTGACCACTAAATAAACCACTTACACTTGCCTGAAGTCTAATGTATCCGCTGCAGTTTGTTTTTTACTTGTGGTTGATATGTGAAGTTGATAAGTGTGCACATGGGCTCAGTGGGGATTCCCCATGCTGACTTTACATACAGTATGTGGTCAAGTCATGTAAAAACCCGTGCTAAATAAATCAACTTCCTGCTCGAATGGGCTGATGGCCTTTGTTAGGCACAGCAGTGGCGTGCCTGCAAGCCCTTCAGACGTCACATTATTATGCGGTAGAGGAGGACATCAAGTGCTGTATTACTTTTATAATTTGGG